TCAGCCAGCAGCGCCTCAGCCTAACGTGGTGGCACCGTCTTGCTCTTGTAACAGGCGTGTGCTCTGGCTTTTAAGAATTTATGTTTGATTAAACGTCATCACCTTTGATTAGAAACGCCCTGCAGTTACTCAGCGGCGTGTGCGGGCGCTCACCGTGTCGGTGCGGGCGATCACCGTGTCGTGTGTGGCTTGTTCTGCAGGAAATGGAGAAGTCGGATGCCAACAACTTCCTGATCCTGTTCCGGGACTCGGGCTGCCAGTTCCGGTCTCTGTACACGTACTGTCCGGAGACGGAGGACATCGCCAAGCTGACCGGGATCGGCCCCAAGTCCATCAGCAAGAAGATGATCGAGGGCCTTTACAAGTACAACTCCGACAGGAAGCAGTTCAGCCACATTCCCGCGAAGACGCTGTCGGCCAGCGTGGACGCCATCACCATCCACAGCCACCTGTGGCAGAGCAAGCGGCCCGTGACGCCCAAGAAGCTGCTGCCCACGAAGGCGTAGGGTCGGGGTTCGCTCCGGGACGTTCGTAGCACGGAGCCGGCCTCACACTGTTGGACTGAAGGGGAAGACGGCGAGGGTACAGAATATGGGTTTATCTGTTGCTTTTTTAACACTTTCCACGTATGTGCTTGTCCTCATGTTTATTTTGATGCCTTTCTCTCCGTGGGGTTTATTCCGAGGTCCCTGTGTTTTGTTTCCCGTGGGGATCACGGAGGGAGGTGGCCGCGCAGGCCGCACGCCTTCCTGTGACACGCGGGGCCCTGGTGTTGGTCTGACGGGACTTCGTGTTTCCCGGTGTCCGAGCGTCGGAGCCGCAGTACGCGTGCCGCCCCTGTTTCTCACTCACTAGTATTAACGGCCTCGGCTCGCGGGGGCGTGGGAGCTGCCGGGGTTCGCGGAGCCCCCGGAGCTCAGCCAAGAGCACGTTGCGGGTTAATCAGTGTTGTCTGCTTCCCGCCCGAGGGCCGGTCGCCTGAGCTGGGGCGGGAGTGCCTCTTTTCCTCATTTTATTTATAACTGACATCCACTCTATTAGAACTTACACCTGTACAAAGGGCTACGCTTTAATTTTAAAACAGCTCCCATGACTTTGCTTACGTTGAGTTTTTCTCCTCCTGTATCCCATCCGAGAGGGCGGCGCAGAGCGAGCGCACACGTGCCGTGGGCGGGGCTGTCCCCGGACGGCCTGTGCCGGGCTCCTGGGAGCTTCGTTCTCAGGAAGATGCGGGCGATCATGGGACCGGGCGATCAGGGGACCCGGGCGCGGGTGGGTGCGGCAGCCGTGGGTCTTGGGGAGCCTAGGGGAGCGTCAGCGGGTCAGACGGGAGGGTAGAGGCTCGCGTGCACGCGGTTCTCGCTGAGTCATTAGAGTCGCTAGCATCTCCTGTGATGCGCGTACTTACTTGGAGAGACAGTGGGGACGGATGTCGGCTGGGGCTTTCCCGTCCCGTCGTCCCAGGCCCTCGGGCATCCGCGCCTGTGAGTTACCGACGTTCTCAATGCTGTCGATATCGTCCTGTAATTTATGTTCTTATATTTATGTATATTTGTTAAAACTGTAAAAAATGCACAGATTTTTTCCCAATATCTGTGCAAGATATATGTGTAGCTCAAACTACTCGTGACCTGCTGTCTGCATGTGAGAGGGGCCGTGTGGCTCTCGTGTTGTAAGTGGATACACGCCGTGTGTAACATGCGCATTAAAACGGGGAAACGCACACGTTACGGTTCAGTCTGTCCCGTTAGGGGACACAGTTACCAAATGGCGTTTAGATTAAGACTGGCTTAAAAAGGAGCAAATAAACCGAATTAAAATGTGGCAAATAGTCATCAAAAAGAGAATTAGCATCGTACATAACTAAATTTGGTCTTTTTTTTTATAAACGTTATTTTTATTGGTTTCAGAGAGAAAGGGAGAGGGAGAGAGAAACATCATGGATTGGCTGCCTCCTGCAGGCCCCGCACTGGGGATTGAGCCCGCAACCTGGGCATGTGCCCTGACCAAGAATCGAACCCAGGACCCTTTGGTCTGCAGGCCGACGCTCTATCTACGGAGCCAAGCCAGCCAGGGCTACATTTGGTCTCTTAAACCAGATCTGGCTTCCGCAGCGTCTTCCTCATGTCGCCAGGACATTAAATTTCCAACAACTGGATGTAGGTCCATGGGGGCAGAGTCACGGCCAACAGCCGCCTGCTGGTCTCCCGTGTGCGTGGGTCCCACAGCCACCGCCTCCAAAGGTAGAGTGTAATGTCACCGCAGCAGCCCGCCACCCTCCGTGTGGCATCTGCTTCCTCGATGGTGCAGCTGGTTTTAAAACCATGTCTGAAGAGTTCGATGCAGATCGTGGGCTCGTCGGTCCTGGGGGTTCTCAGCGACCCGCTGGCTGACACACACCGAGGCCAGGCGCCCGCAACGATCACTCAGGTGCACCTGCCACGCTCCGGAGCCTTCTGCCCTCGCGGCCTGGGGGTGGGGGGGGCTGTCATGGTGTCCTCTGGCCCCTGAGAGCCGGGCCAACCTTTCCTGGGGACTTCCTGGCGCCTCCCACCTGCCCACAGGCGCACGGCCCCCGCACAGCGTGGCTCTCCTCGCCCGAATAAACGCATGGCACCCAGAGACCTGTGTCTTGAGTGAAATGTGGGGTCTGTCTGTGACACTATCCAGACTTAGGTCCTGTCTCAACCTGCCAGCCACCAGCCGTGTGTGTGTGTGTGTGTGTGTGTGTGTGTGACACACATACCACGGGAGAGCCGTGGGTGTCCCGGTTGAGGAGCGACCCAGACGGGAGGGGTGCGTCCTTGCCAAGCAGATCCTGGGCCTGTACGTCTGGGACCCCCTTAGCGCCAACCCTGGGCTGCTGAGGGGCTGGCTCACCTGCACAGGCCTTGGTGCCACCAGCTCCTGCCGCCAGGGGCCACGAGGGGGTGGGGGCAGGTTAGGCCCCGAGGCCACACAGCTGCAGCCCCGGCTTTCACTCTGAGTCACCGGGGGCTGTACTCACATTAGAGACCCTCCCTTCCCCTCCCAGCTCCTGTGCGGTGGCTGCAGGGGTCTGATCTGAAAGAACTGAGTGTCTGCATCCCACGGCCTCGGGCATCCAGGGCGGGGCCCTCCCCTGGTGCCCGCCAGGCCTTCACACACACAGATACACGTGCGCACACAGATACACGCGTGTGGATGCACACAGACACAGCCACCACCTGCCGCGGGCTGTGTGGTCTGCGGGAAACCCCATCATGGTGGCCGCTCGGTCACAGTGGCTCCCCGCCCCAGGTCAGTGTTTCCCCTGAGAGAGAGAGAGAGAGAGAGGCCCCATGAGGGGAGGTGGCTTTGCAAGGTCTGCCTCACGCTCAGGCCCCAGTCACTGTCAACCAACAGCAACTGAATTGGCAGCCGTCTGTCCTTCAGCCTGGGACCCCAGGCCTAGTGAACTGTGTGACTCCTAAGCCACTTGCCGACCACCCACTGTGTGCAGAGAAACGTGTGTCCTGGAGGCGGGAGCAACGGGACAGGGTCACTGAGCCGCCCTCTGTGATGCCAGCTAAGGCCCAGGTCCCTGCAGAGCCCGGGGAGCCCGCATCGCTGGGCCCCACCCAGCCCCCGCCCAGGACAGGGCTCCCAGGGCGGCTGCACCCTCACAGCGCCCACCAGGCAGACGTGGAAACGGGCCGGTTACGAAGCTGCTGTGAAGCCGGGCTGGTCGCTAATGTTCTGACGCAGACGCGGGCCCTGCAGACGCGGGTCTACGACACAAGGGCTCAGCAGGGGCGGTTCCCAGGACCGCCTGAACTTGTATTTGTCCGTGGCCACTGCCAGTCAGTGTGATTTGATGTCAGTTTCCAGGACAGTGTGTGCTGTGCATTGAATGGCCCTGGGAAAGTTCGAGAGAAACCTGGAAAGAAAAAGACTGCACTCTAGGTAGATGGAGAAACTGACTTGTTTTCTAACAAGAACAGAAGTGAATGCTTCTAGATCAGCAAAGAGGAAGGAACGTTTTTAACCTCGGAAATTGCTGAGAGCAACAAACGGGGCTACGCGACAATGGAAACCTAGAGACAGTGAAAACGGCTGAGAAACAAGCCTGGGGAAACATCTGAACCCAATGGGGCCCTGACTTAGCCTCAACAATGAGCTCGCACACTCGGACAGTGACACATGGTCACACCAGACAGGCGTGGGAAGGGCGCGGTGAGACGCGAGAGCCGCTGAATGTGCAGAGACCGCGCTCGCTGTGTTGGAAGAAATGCAAATTAAAGCGAGGGGCCCTTTGCGTTACCCACCGAAGTGGGGAAATCGGCTTTACTGGTGGACATGCCCAGCGAGATGGGCCGAGCCCAGGACCCAGACAAAGCCACACGGTGACCAATCGCTGTCCCTCTCGGGCCCTGGGAGTTCCATAGCCTCTGACCTTCACCAGGGCACTTACACCGTGAAAACAGCACCAAAGAAGAAAAAGAAAAAAAAAACCCACAGTCTTACGGGCAGTTATTTCAGACACATTTCCACAGCAGCAAAAATACGGGGCACAACCTCCATGTGGAAAACTAAGGCGTTAGAAAACTCAGCAACCCCAAGAAACGTGCGGTGACGTGGCTTCTGCCTTCTAATCACGCGTGTGACTGACACAGCGGAGTAAACACCAAACAGGCCCGACTGGGTGGTTCAGGGGTTGAGGGTTGACCTAGGAACCAGGAGGTCACGGTTCGATTCCCGGTCAGGGCACATGCCCCGGTTTCGGGCTCCATTCCCAGCGGGAGGCGTGCAGGAGGCAGCTGATCCATGATTCTGTCTCACCGTGGATGTTTCTCCCTCTCCCTCTCCCTTCCTCTCTGACATCAATAAAAATCTGTATTTTTTTAAACTGGCGGGGAGAGTTCTAAGCCCACAATGGAGCGGAAGTAAAACCTACCCCGAAAGCAGTCCAGGCAGGCCTCGTCTGCCTGTGTCTGGGGTGTGTCTGTCTCACGCTCCTGCCAATCACCGTGATGGACAGAGAAGCCCCAACACTTGGAGGGGAGAGTTCTAAGAGCCCACAAAGGAGCGGAAGTAAAACCTACCCTGAAAGCAGTCCCGGCCAGGCCTCGGCTGCCTGTGTCTGGGGTGTGTCTGTCTCACGCTCCTGCCAATCACCGTGATGGACAGAGAAGCCCCGAGGCTGAGGGAGGACCCTCCCCTTTGGCTTTGTTGACCCCTGACAGCAGGTGGCCAGGCATCTCGGAACGAACAGAACGGGGATGTGTGTCTCAGGGATGTGTGTCTCTCGATGGATTTGCTCCTCTTCCTGTGGGGAAGGGAGGAAGCGGGCCTGGGCCCCTGGACCCGGGCTGGGCGCCCACCCAGGGAGGCCAGGCCCAGAGCGAAGGCCCCAGCGCGGCCTCTGATGCTTCCTGCCGCCAGACAGGTTCCGAAAGGCCCCGGGGCCCAGGCCCCGCAGAGAGAAACCCCGTGTGCTCTGGGCCACCGACTTCCCTTGGGTGCGAGACCACAGCCCAGGAAGCAAGAGTCTCTGTGTTTTTAATAAACAACCTATTTCCACTTCCC